CGTCCCACCCACACCTGTGTGACTGGAGACGGGGTGTCTTGCTTACGGCACCGCTGTTGCTTGTCAGTCCTCAGCTTCTCGTCACCTAGCCAGGACCAGAGGTGGGAAGAACACGGCGCTGTCTGGACCCAGACTGCCACGGACACACCCGGGTTCTACCACTCCTCGCCGTGACGTGTCAACTAGTCACTTCTCTTTTTATGTCTTGATTTCTTCACTTTATAAATAGGGATGATAACTTACTGTAGACTAATGTTTCAAAGCACTTAGACAAAGTACACAATAACTTTTAAGTAGAAGATAACAACTATAGCAGTATAAGCACCGTCTGTGCTTAAAGAGAAGTATTTAATATGCCTAAACTCCACCATCTTTTTGAAAATATTTTTTTCTCCATTAGAATTTCATGTAGGTCTTTTCTAGAACCTTTTAATAATTTTTCAACACTGTATTTCCTTACTATGATGTGTATTCCAGTCCAGTTGTTATTAATAGAAATTCTACTTTTACTCTCATCTATTAGATTGATTATAAAACAGTGTTTTACATTAAAGAAAATGAATATCTACACATCCCTTCCTTCAGCGGAGTACATTAATAGAAGCATGTATAAAAATGTAAAATTATTTTATTTTTCCACATTACTTGTTTTAAACATTTTTACTGTGAATTTTGAAGTACATTATATTACTAGCTCTAACTGTAAGTGGCATTAGCATAATGAATAGAATAAAGGTGAAAATGAGTAGAAAACGAAAGTAGGTTCTATATTTGTAAAAGGTTGTGAAAGTTAAAGAATCTTAAGATAGTAGTGCAAAGTGGCAGCTATCCCTATATCCACTTACAGTGGTTAATTATTACTTATCTCTTTGGATCCATTATTTATTGAGCAACTGTAGCTTCTGAGTTATCAATTCCAGTATACAGGAGTAATACAGACTGCACCAACTAAAATCCTAGCTCCACTACGACCTTCCTGAGTGACCTGAGAGGTAAATTAGTTAACTTCTCATCTTCAGTTTCCTCCTCTGTAAAACAGAAGTAGCAGTGTCTTGGTCAGTGCACCAGACTGAGTAATTTCAAGAAAGCTGAACATTTATCAAGCTAAGAGTACAAAATGCCAGGGCAAAGCCCAGAGGCCTGGTTAGGATAACACTTCCCAAAGAGGTAAGGAGGGGAACAGGCCTACATGGAGACAGACAGGGGTGATAGGGAGAAGACTGAAGAAAGGGTGCTGGGACAAGAGAGGAGATGGGAGGAGCACGGCCTCTGTGGCGACCTTGGAAGGGGCACACATGCTCCCACCTCGCTCTTTTTCCTCCACACCGACCTTCTGCTAGCACTCCTAAGAGGCCACAGAAGCGTGACAACGTGGGAGTCCAGCGCTATCCTCTGCTGCCCAAGGAAGGCAGCAGTGCAGGGTCAATGGAGGGACATACACAGATGCCCAGGTCACAGGCCACTTCATAAATCCAAGGCCAAAATGGTAACACTCTCAAAACTGCTTAGAATCGTATCTGACACAGTTAAGTTTAGCTATTTTCATCTTTTTTCACTCTTGCCTGGGTTGCACCTCCTACCCGTCTTCACCCATGAGTGAAGAAAAAGGGAAAAAATTGCTTTGCTCTGTGAATTTCCAAAGATTATATTTTTACACAAAAACAAATCATTCACAAACAATCAAACCATATACTCTAACAAAACCAGGAGAAAATATTTTAGGCTCACAGATAAGCCCCTCCCAAGCTGGACATTAGGGAACCTTATTAGTGGGCACCAGAAATATGAAATGACAATTTCTGGGAAGAAGATATAGTAACAATACTAACAGACACTATTTAATATGAATATTAACTATACTTAATAAAACAATATCCTTGTTTCTCAGGATACACGTTAAAGATAAGAAGTAGAGGAGATAAATCTAACCATTATAATACAGAAAATACTAACCCTTGAAATACACAGATAATTACACAGGACTATTTTGGATTCTCATAATGAACATCATTTTTAAAAATACAACTAAAGATTATAAAATCACTGTTCAGAATACTCCATTCTAACTACTGCACACAATCTCTTGGACAAAAGCTGATGGCTATCATCCTGGGGAAAGGGAGTTGAACTCTTTTACCTCTGATCTTTTTCCCTGACCCGTCCCCGGGGGAATTTACTCACAGGAGTCTTCACACTAAAGCACATTTTTGGGCCACCTTTGACAGGAGGTTTGACCAGGCTTTGGTATTTTCTCCAGCTTTATACCCATGGCAAAACTAAAGAGAACAGTTTCACAGGAAATGGCCGTTTTCCTCAATGGAGCTTTTTTTTGCGTTATTATAGTTAAAGTCAAAATGCTATTAACCCACCTCAAAATAACCCCCCTTACTTTCATGCCTGCCAAGAAAGCAAAGGGGCAGGCAGATCTGGTTTAAAGCTGAGGGACGGGGGGGACCCATGGATTCTAGTCTGCAAAGACGTTAGCGTTTACGTTGTGACATAGTTCTGCTTTAGGGTTTGAGATACAAGCTAAATTAACCCAATGCTACTCGGCTCTCTTTTGAAATTGCCCCCTTAAGAATATAAAAAGGTGAACTGAAAAATACAACGTATGTTTAAATTTAAAAAGCTTTATTACAGTTAAAGACACAATGCTAGTAACTCACCTCAAAATACTTCTCCACCCCTCACTTCAAACACACTTATGCCATCATTCCTGCCACTTTCTGAAGCAGTTCTGCAAGTCTCTTTTGTGAGTGTATGAACAAGGTGTGAGAAAAAATACAACTGAATGTTCTGGCCAAGTGCCGTCCTACAGAAAGGCAGACCCCTAAAATCGTCACTGTGTGTCCCGCCTTGCTCATCAGTGCCCTGTGACTTCTGGCTCTTCTTCGAAGTCAGAATGACTATAAAAGAGAAATATTTTTAACTGATTCAGGACATCAAGGCAGCTACACCAGTGCAACTAAGAAAACTCAGAAAAGACTTTCAGAGCTGCTTCTGAAAGTGGCAAGAATGACGGGTAAGTGTGTTTGAACGGAGGGGAGTGCTCTGAGGGGGACTCATGGCACTGTGTCTTTTACTGTAAAACATTTTTTAATTTAAGCCTTATTTTTGATCACAACTCTTCTATCTTTCTAAGTGCCTTGGAAAAATGGTATGGCTATACTGAAAAAGTCCTTGTCCCTGGTCTTTTCTCATCAATAACTAGCATTAAAATCTGATTTCTATTCTTCATCAAAAATGACAACAAATATATACAGACTGAGCATCCCTAAGATGAAAATCTAAAATCTGAAATGCTCCAAAACTCAAACTTTTCTGAGTCCTGCCATGAGGCTACAAGTGGCAAATTCTAAATCCGACCTTACGTGACTGGTTGCAGTCAAACCTCAGGCACACTAAAACCCTGTGTGACATCACCCTCAGGCTCTGTGTGCAAGGTGCGTACGAAATGTGTGTGAGCTTCATGTGTAGAGTTGGGGCTTGTGTTATGGTTTGTGTCTGTGTCCCCCCAAAGCCTTATGCGGTCACGGGGCAGGCTTTTAGGGTTTGACTGCTTGTGGGTGTGAGAGCTACACCTGCCCTGGGGTGGGTAGTTTGCATATGTAAGGGAGAGGAAGAGGCTGCTTGCAGCCATTCCTCCCTTTAGTGTTTGTTGCTTTTGCTGTGTTCTGCCGCCTTGAGCTGTAGCCCTCTGCCATGTGCCATTCTGCCTTGTAACCTGCCAAGTATGGACTGAAACCTCCACAAACTGTAAGCGAAATAAACCTTTCCTTCCTTAATTTTGGGCGTCAGGTATTTTGTCCCAGCAATGAGAGAAAAGTAACCAAGACAGCCCATCACCAGAGTATCTCACTATATACCTGATCACATTTCAAAATCTAAAAAAGTCTAAAAGATGAAACGTTCTGGTCCCAAGCACTGCAGGTAAGGGATTCTTTTCAGGTAAGGGAATTATTTTTACCCTCATTCCTTTGATGTGACTCTCTAAAGTACAATGTTTCCATATTTATACAGATAAGGAATGCAACAGGTAAAACATTTAGGAGAAGACCTCAGCCCTCCATCTGTCTCTCTCATATACACACAACACACAGGAAAAAGTCCCTAGGTGAGGATAAAAAGTTATCAATAATAACATTTAATTAATCCACAAAAGAAGTGGAATCCTAGCACTTAGAAAGTAAGGGTGGAATACCAGAACTCAGAAATGAGTAATTGAGGGTAAATTAATTAATAACTTATATTTTGATACCAGTTTGTCATTTGGTATCTTAAACATTACGAGGCCAAACAGAAGCAGTGAAGAGAAAGGTGTCTCCCAAGCCACGGAAGCCACGCGAGGGGCCCTGAAGGAGCCCAGGCGCTGAGCGCAGGAGCACGGGGCACCAGTACAGAAGGGCTCTTTGTCAACGTGGGACGTCCTGAGGAGTACTGACGTACACAGGAAAGGCAGAGGCACAGTTCCTTTCGGAGAGGACAATCAAGCTGATTAATAAAGTTTGGTTCCTCAAAATTCATTCCTTAGTAATGCTAGATAAATTAATCTGTTCTGTTAATTCTTGAAAGAATGACTAAGATGAGAACTTATTATCTTTAAAAGTCAGGCTATCAAAAATGAACTCACTTAAGAGTTCTAAGTACTAGTATTTTCTATTCACAGAAACAGAGCTACAGAAATAGAAAAAAAATTCAAATTGGACAGGAACTTCTTAAAACGATAATCTCGTGTTTTCTAGACAAAAATGCTCTGTAAGGTCACTCACACACAGTGTTTACAGTATAGAGTTAGCATCTCTGGACCACTGCCACAGAAGGTGTATCAATTTAAACTGTCTTGTTTATTGAAAGAATGTTTCATTGTAAAAACTGAGACAAATTTAACAAAATGAAAAGCTGTGATTAGTCCTAACCGTAGTCAGAGCAGAACAGAAAACACGAACAATGCGGCACATACTGAGCTCCCTCCCCAGCTATCTTCAAGGCACGGTACTCACAGTGGTCTTATCAAACTCAGCCTCGGAGGACGCTGGTGACAGAGGGCTTACGGGGCTCAGAGATGGAGAACTCTCAGCACTGGAGACATATTCAGGGTCGGGAACATACAAAACCTCCAAGAAAATGTCACAGAAAGATTCAGTTAAACTACGATGTTAGTAATCAGATTTCTGTGAGCAAGCACCATTAAAATGCTCTTCAGTAATAAACAGAAAAAATAAAAATTTTCATATTGTAATATTTATTACCATAACAGGCTTAACAGTAAAAACAAAGAATATTCAAAAATCAGTTGAAACACATCTGATAAAGACATACTGTCAAGAGATTGGTGAGAAGCAACAGTTCTCAAATGCTAGAGTCCCTTGTTTTGGAGACAAATTGGCAATAGTTAACAAAATTTAAAATGTGCGTATCTCTCTGATTCAGCCGTTTTATTTCTACGAATTTACCCAAAGAAAGACATGCACATAAATATAAACAGAGAAGTACCACAGTGTTCAATATAGCAATGTTAAAATTAGCAGAAATAGAAACACCCTGAAGCTTACAGCAACTTGTTAAACGAACTATGGTAGAGCAACACAATGCACTGTATATACACAGGAAAAAGTACTGTGCTTAAATGCAACATTTTCAAAGTTAAACTTAGAATAAAGAAACAAACAAAACTCCTCAAAACACAATATCATACTTCTGAAAGTAGATGTGACCTCGTAACTGGACGTTTCTGGAAAAGAAATTACAAGTTTGAAATAGAAGGATAACTTACCTTTAAACTGTTGAAATGTTGAAATCATATACCTGTACATGATACTGTACATGACACAGCTCTGAATAATTTTAAAAACTCTAAAGCAACAGCTTATTTGAAAAGTCAATTTATAATCAGACATAAAGACAGTTAACTTTCATTTATAGGGCCAATATGTTCAAAACACACATAAAATTATTCTTCTCAAATCTTCCACATTATTAACTATATGCAGTAGATACTATCTACTTAATGATTATAAACATCAACATATTTAAACAAAGATAATACCTGTCCAGTCACGACTGATCGGGAGAATAACTTATTTAACTGAACAAGTTCATTGGGTGTTGTATCAAATTTCAGGGCTATGCTATTCAAAGAATCTCTTGATTCGACCTATTTAAAAGAAAGAATGAATTATTTTTATTTGTCAAAACAGAAAAACTAAATTATAAAATGTAATGACCAATACATCTGGAAAGCAATCTTGTATTTCATGAATAAATAATATTTTATGTTTGGAGATAACTGTCAAGAAATATTGTATTTTGTTAACAAATGATGTCGGCCTATGACGCAGAGCATGTTTTATCACAATACATGTGGGTCTCTAATTCAAGCTATTTCAAAATATATAACATAAATAAGTTTTATTTTAAAAGGCATTAAAATAATATAGTATGCTTTTAAATAGTTTGTAGAATATAAACAACTTCGAGAAATATACTAATTTTACTTTAGCAAAGTATACCTGTATATAGGGGGCTGGGGATTTAGCTCAGCGGCAAAGCGCCTGCCTGGCAAGCGCAAGGTCGTGAGTTCGGTTCCCGGTACCGGAGAAAAACCAAAAAAAAAAAACAAAGTATACCTGTATTAAATTCAAAATACTATTTCTAACTATCTTTATGTATATATTCTGCCATTTATGTATGTAAGTCAGAAAAATATTTGAATCAAAATTAAGTTCTGTCCCTGAATCACAAATATAATCTGTTCCTGAATCATTAATATAATCTCACAATCATATTCATAGTAATTTTAGCTAATGGGATTTTGTCAGTTACCCAAAAGAAAAAGCCATTTGATCAATCAATGTATTTCCCGGGGGCCCACCCTCTTTACCAACGTCTTATGATCGCTATGAAGAGAAGAGAGCGAAGATCACTTAGGTGGCTTTAGTGCTCTAGGAATGAACATCCCTCTCCCCGATGGAAAGCAGACAGAGACGGTTCTATAAAAGATGAAGAGGGATCCACAACAGAACCATGAGACAGCAGAAGCCCTGAGTATGGTCAAGTACCCTGTGCTCCAAATGTCTAGGAAAGACCTCACAGTAAAGATTTAAGGTGAGTTTTGAACAAGCGGAAACGATTTGAGAAGAACAGAGAAGGTAATAAAAAGTTTCACAGTAATGATAATACAAGGTGAGGAGGCATACAAATACACAATGTTTGCAATAACATCTCTTCCTCAACCATCCACCCGAAGCATCTTCATGAAGCACAGATTTCAAGGACAGTGAGTAGCTGGAGGTACATCTCTGAAAGGCCAGGGCTGAAGGGTATTTAGAATTATATTGCAGAAGACTCAGAAATCAAGAAAAGTAGACATGTGGGTGGTGAGTAAAAATAAATAAATGAACATATTTTCCTTAATGGTTCTGCAAAACCAAATTTATCCCAAACACTTGAGGTAATAATCTAGTTTTGCTTCCCTCCATCTGTGCAAACTCCCTCATCTACATAATATGCTCATATATCATCTACTTTATTAAGACAACATAAAAAGACCATGTTATTTGGCAGTAATACCTGAAAGTTTTCACAGTACACTATTATTAATCACATATTTTATCCTCACAGTGCCTTTTAAAAGGATGATACAGGTAATTTAAGAATAGAGACAGTTATGCCCGGGATATAGCTCAATGGCACAAGTGCCAGCCTGGCAAGCACAAGGTTCTGAGTTCAATTCCCAGTACCAAAAAAAAAAAAAAAAATCAACTGTTATAAAGCATAGGAATCAGCCAGCTTTAGTGGCACCTTCTGATGATGTATAGGCAACAGGTGCAAGACTAATGGCACAAAAGAATACATGCATAAAAAACAAAACGACACTGCTGGAGCCCATCAGGTTCATGATATAGCATGTGCAGGAGATGAAGGGACCGCTTTCCAACCACGTCCAACAGCAAGCGTCCAGAAATGGAATGGAATTGTGAGTCATGGCAGTTAAGTCAGGGCAGTAAATGTGACAAAGCAACCGGTTCTGACTCTAAAACTTCCAGCCTGCATGAATAACAGATGAAATGGAAATAAGAAAATCCAGCATTGCAGAAGGATGTAGGAATAGGAGGTTTTCTATAATCTGTTAAATATAAGTGACGGTAGGAAATGTAAGACTACGTAGGTACGAACAGAAAAACATTTGGCCGCATTCCACACAGCTGATGAAGTTCTTATGCTGTCGAGTGATGGACTCAACATCAGTAGAAAAGTGAAAAGAAACAAGGAACCACTCACATGTGAAACCAAGAAGAGAAGAGCTGCCAGCAACGCAGACGGAAGACAATCAAAACGACAGCAAGAGCACAGGACAGTGAAGCACAAGGACAGTAAAGTGCAGCACAGTTAGTTTCAAGGACAAAGCAGGGTTCTGAAAAGAGAACAGACACAGGAGGACAGGACACACTTGAAGAATGTTGGTATTTTTTCCTAACATGTATAAATGATTTGATTACGAAGGTTTAAGAAACACGACCACCAATATAAACAAAATGTCTAAACCTAGGCTTATCACAGTGGCACTGCACAACTACAAAGACAAAGAGGAAACTTGAAAAGCAACCCGAGGAAAAAGACTGCCTCGAAATGAACAAAAACAGGGCAAAAGAAGAACGCAAGACAACAGATCGCTATCTTCAAAATGCTGACAGTCACTGTCAGGCTACACATCTATAGCCGGCGAGACTGCCAGAAAGGAGAGCGCAAAGAAGACTTTTGAGACATACTCTGATTTTCCAGTTACAAATCTTCACTGAAGGAATACAACCTCAAGAAGAAAGTAAAATGAGAAAGAATGAAGGATGAATAGGAAGTAAGACCATCTACTGGGCTTGATAATAGGAAAGATAATTTAGTGGAAAGTGACCGGAGTATTAGTTAATAAGGAAGGAAGTAGTATCATGTAGCAGTTGTAAGACCTACTTTTGATTCCCACTTACGGTGATTTCACTCTGTACAATTAGGCAGTATATACACATATATAAATTTGAGGGTATATATTTATACTATATTCATACCTTAAGGTTAGCTGTACTATATACAGGTGTTCTGGAAATATACTTGAGCTAAATCATAAATATTTTAGAAGAAACAAACTTGCAGAGCATATCGTGATATGAAGTTTTAAGGGAAATATATATCGTCCCAAATAAAAGATCATATTATTTAAAGATATTAAATGAATTCTTCATAAATCATGTTATTTTAGAGACTACAGTAAGACTAGTGTATAAAATGGTATCTTACCTAGTTTTAGAAATTTGTTTCTTTCATAATTTGGCATGTGAAATAAAGAATAAAAAATAAAAAACTAAAAGTCCAAATAAAGACCTCTCAGAAAATGTTTTATACACTTTCTACTCAATACTTGTTTTCCAAAGCTCATATATAACATTTGGGAAAAATTTTTCTATAACCCTTCACCCCCTAAAAATAATGTTTCTTAATTTAATTTTAATTTTGCTACAGATAATAGAAGTTTTACTGAAGTACAATGAAAGAATGATAGATTCCTGAATTCAGAACTTTACATACTTTTGCAATCATGATTATGTGTACAAATATAATTGTATATTATACACTAAGCCTATTATCTTGTGCCTCAATAAGTGCTAAGGAATACATCAAATTAAATTATTTAATCCTTTACCACATGAACTTATTTTCTCAACTTTTCAACTTTGTAGACACAAACATAAGCAATTAAGTTTACAATAAGATTTTTTGATGGTAGTAAATGTAATTCTACTTTAAATATCAGACCTTTACAAAATATTTAAAATCTCAAATAATCAATTATATAGTACATGAAAAGAGTATAACTTAAAATTTTGAAAATTTGTTCAGTTTTAAGGATTCATAGAAAATAATCAAAGTTGATACTACAAGGTTTAATGGTAAATTAAAGCTAAATTCATATACAAAATAGTATTTTCTCCTTAATACAGCTATGTTAGAAAAACACAAAATAATAAAATTAGGCTCAGTTGGAGTAACTGTTTTACAGCATGTTAACATTACCTAAATCAACACTATTTACATGAACCCAAATGAGCCACACGCCACACACAGCTTCTCACTTTGGGTCCCCAGTACCCCGAGCTGAGAAGTTTGGCAGCAAGTCATTCCTGGACACAGGAAAAGCTTCCTCCTCAGGGCTAAAGAAGCTGAGCCAACTCATCTTTCCAGCATTCTCTGTCATCAGCATTGGCATCAGCACTGCAGCCAACATAATGAAGGTTACGTTTCTAAAAAAGCAAATATGTTCCTAAAAGCCTAACCTAATAAAAATCATTCTAGCAGAGGAACTTTGACTCACAGGGAAGTATCACTGATATTAACTTTGCTGGAATAAAATTTCTCATTAAGAAAAAAAAAAATCCTAACATGCAAAAAATTCAAAACTTAAGCATTATTAACAATAAAAGTTACCCAAAGGGAGTGCAGATTTTTTAAAAAAGGCAATTAACAATTCTTTCCAGGCCCGGGGAGATATCTCAGTGGCACAGCTCTGCCTGGCAAGTGCAAGGTCCTGAGTTCAATTCCTAGTACCAAAAACCACCCCCAAAAAACAAAAACAAACAAACAAAAAAACCAATTCTTTCCTTATCTGTAGTATAGATAGAGCCGTCAATAAGATAATTATAAATATAAGCTGCTTTTTCAAAAGGAAGGAACTTACAGTGTACTCGATAGTCCCTTTAGGCTTCTGGAAAGACATTCGCCTCCCATCTTTCTTGTCTAAGTTCTTCTTTTGGCCAGTGTCTGAAAAAAAAACGAGGCAAATGCCTATGAATTTCATTTTCCTTTCACAGTAATGTCAAGGACCTTTGAAGAGAACCTGCTGGGCAGATATCTAATCCGTAGTGTGGCTCATTCCTGAGGATTCTGGCTTTGGGGAAAAATAAAACCCACTGTCAAAAAAGGAACTGCAGTTCCTTCCTGTTTGTGTAAGAAACTGACCAATACGACCACATATTAATTAGAAGTTAACTGTCAACAGAAGCTATTAAAAACGAAATTATACCATTTCATTCTACATATTTAATCTGACTATAATAAACCATTTTTGAAGACATTTTTAAATACATATTTGAAGATTTTGTATTATTATTATTATTATTATCATTATTATTATTATTTTGGTACCGTGAATCAAACTCAGGACCTTGTGCTTGCCAGGCAGGGCCAATATATTACTATTATTAACCAAAGTCTGAAAAATGTACTTAGTCCTCATAGGAGAAAACTCTATTTCTATAAGTCATAAAGATAAGAGTATTCTTTGTGTTATATTATCTTCCCAATTTACACACCATGAAGTAAATTAAGGTACTCAGTATACATAAACATATTTATCCCATCTATAATCCTGAGCACTCTGGGAGGCTGAGGCAGGAAGACAGCAAGGTTGTTAGCCTGGGCACTGCTTAGCAAGACCCTGTCTCAAAGCTAAAAATAATAAAAGGTATGAGGATGTAGCTCACTACCCCAAACAAACAAAAAGCAAAAACCTTTTAATTTCAGATTATGTGCACATTATTTTGCATTTGCTTATCAAGACATTTGAATATTTCATTATCAACATTAAGTTACTTGTTTTAAATTTTTAATTTGGATAACCTCATCTATATTTCAAGTAATAATGAACTACATACACTGAATTGATAAAACAACACTCCTATGTAAATATTTTTAAATTATTAAAATGAATTTTTTTTTTGTACTGGGAATGGAACTCAGGACCTTGTACTTGCCAGGCAGGTGCTGTGCCGCTGAGCTACATTCCTAGCCCAAAATGTTTTAAAAATTAAAAATTAAGCTAACAAACAGGAAAATGCTATACTTATCCATGATTAAAAAATAAAGCTATCACAGAAAAATAAGTTCTACTAACGCTCAAATAATCTAGAAAACATATGTTCCATTGTTTTCCTTCCACCCTGAACTGACATTTGTACCATGTTAGAGGCTATTTCTTTGTACCTAATTAGTTTAACTGTGGGATGAATAGTTTTAATGAAGTATTCATAAGCCTGAATCCCAGTTAAAAGTCAGTTAACTCTACAATGCTTAAAAGACTGTCCTAAAAACTCCTGAGCACCCACTCTCTGTGACTAATTATACAGCATCTTCACAAATCCAAAGCATCTGCACAGTTTTTAAAATCATTATCTAGGTTTTCAATCTTTACTGAACTGTCTTGCCAGTTTTACAATTTCCATTCTGTGTCTAAGGAGGGACAGACACAGGAAAAGGATCTAATGTGAATGAATGAGTGTTCTGAAGCAATTACCTCAACTGCACTTGGACTCCCATAACGCTTATGAACGGCCCTCAATCTCTGTACAGAGAAGTACTATGGGAACTAGCGTTCATACACTACAACTCCAAGGTAAAAGTGTGTGTGCATACACGTCACATCTTTGTATCCTAAACATTTAAAGCATTCATAAAAAAGAAAAAAAAAAAGATTTTTTTTTTTAAAGGTGAAAAGACAAAAGATATGGTCAAAAAATTCACAAGAGGTTGTAAAAATGGCCCTTGAACACATTAAAAGATGTTCAACTTCAATCGAAGCAGTACAAATTTAAAATACAGGTATTACTCCTCACTGATCAGAATGGTAAATATTCAAATGTTGAACATACACAGTTTGGCACATTTCTGGTGAGAATAAAAATGCTACAATTCTTATGAGGAAGGTTATTTTTGCTTATCAGAATATCCTGATTTTTTCTCTCCACTGAATATTTAAAAATTGAATATTCCCTCCATTTTATATTTAAAAATTTTTTGTTGTTGTGTTTGGTTCTTGAGACAGGGTCTCACTCTGTAGTTCAGGCTGGCCTTGAACTACTACGTAGCCCAAAGTTCAAGGCGGCCTTTAACTCTATGTAGCCCAGGTTGGCCTCAGATTCGTGGAGATCCTCTTGCCTCTGCCTCTCGAGTGCTAGCATAAGAGGCATGTGCCACCACTCCCAACTGTATTTAAAATTCTTACCTGATGAGAAAATAAAACATTAAACTATTTTAAAGTAAATTTAAAGTAGTAATTTATCTCTCTTACTTCACAAATAGCAGAGAAAGCCAAAAGCACTTTCTATATTTTACAATTTAAACTTCAGAAGCATACAAAAGAATTACAGCTTGCTTTCAACCAATAGCACTTCTCTGCTCCACTGATTCTTGCAGTTACTGTAAGTGTACATTTACTTTGTCCAATACAGGTTGATTTCCCCTTTTCTAAAGTGCTTAGAACCAAAACAGTTCAGATTTTAGATTTTGTTGGATACAGAAATATTTGTATCGAAGCTCAAAATCTTTTGGCTACTGGAACATTTTAGAGTTTGGATTTTTGGATTAGGTACGCTGAACCAATAGTTTTTCAAACCATGTTTCACAGTCTCCCTGAAGTTCACTGAACATTTAATCATTAACAGTTTGCAATTACTTTATCATTTCTAAAAGTTCACCACTGAATGTAGTTCAAGGTAATAAAATAATATAGCAACCCCATCAATTTTAAAATTCTAATCAAACTGACATATTCACTTTAATTTAACATAATAAGTATTTGGCAATAAATTTATGTATTATAAAGTAGTTTAAAAATCTAATTTCCAATATTAACAATTATCTAAAACTGCCAGAATACAATGAAATAAACTGTTTTTTTCTTTACTCTGAGAATACAATCATATCATCACAACTCTGAGATTTGAAAGAAACCACCACTGCTAGCTAGCCATGTCTCTTCTCTAATAACTTATCTTTAGAAACAGGTCAGCAAATAGGAATCGAGACTGGGAGTGCGGAGCACAGTCCTATTCTTCCTTACAAAACTGACAAGTTTAGAAATACTGTACAGACTTATTTGTGGTTTATTTACTAATATTATGCATCTAGTACACGCCAAGAATTGTTCTAAGTACTTCACATCCCTATTTCACTAAATGTACTAACTCCATGAAATAGGCATCATTATGTCCTTATTTTAAAACCAGGGAAGCAGGCACAAAAGAGCAGTGCCAATTACACAGGGAAGAAAAGAGCAGGGATGGCATTCACACTCCACCCACTGACTCTGCTCAAAGCTACTCTGTGAAACTACTCACTACACTATCAGCTTCATGTGATCAGAGGGTAGTAGATGTAGTCACAACTGCATACCAGTGACTCTCAACCAGGGGTAACTTTTGCCTCTCCCCCAGGGGATATTTGGCAATGCCTGGAGACTTTTTTTGACTTTTTGGAGACATGTTATTGGCATCCGGTGAGTAAAGTCAAACCATGGCTACTGCTAAACACTTCCATGTGTACCTCCCTATCCAGGAAGCTAACTTTCTTTTGTCTGCTTATTGTTTAATTTAGTGATGAAGACAAAAACCTCCCACTATAATTAGGGGTTATTTGTTCTCTGTGGGTCTGCTTTCTCTATTTTGACACCATGTTATTAGGTTTTCTTCTTGATGAATTGAATCTTTTCTCAGAATACTGTTTGCCTTAAAAGTCTGCTACTACCTGGGCATGGTAGGGCATCCCTATAATCCCAACATTTGGCAGAGGATGCCATGTGATTGAGGCCAGCCTGGGCTGCACAGTGAGTTCAAGGCCAGCCTGGCCTACATAGCAAGAGCTTATCTCAAAAAGAAGTTCACATGGTCTGATGTTAATACACTGCCTTTCCATGGACTAGCATCTGCTTTTCCACTCTCACCTTTTCTCCACCTGTGTGCTGTTGGTGTGACTCTAAGCAGGTCACATTTGTCTACTTTTCTATTGTCTCCATTGGTCTTTTCTCCTTTCTTGTCTTCTCTGCATTGTGACTGACTCGTTTTTCAGTTCCTTGCCATTAAGGTAGAAGTTACAAACTAACAATTCTAGTGGTCATCCTGCAGGACAGGCTGAATTACTGCCTTATCTAGAACCACTTAAAATTAAGCAGCATTTTAACCACTTCCAGATGACAAAAGGATAATGCCAAGACTGATATGCAATATTTTGTAGTATATTTAAATTACATATATGTATATACGATCATAAGAAATTTAGACAATCAACATTCATTTAGTTTTGTACTCATATTTATCATTTTTATTGTACTGGGCAATTTCAGGCAACAGAATTCAGGATAATAGAAATTTTAACACTGTAATGATAAATTCTCAGTTTTTAGTTTCTACTTCACCTGGTAGAAAATCAATGCCATTCTTCAAGGGACATCATTCAAGGGAACAAGATTATTTATTCTCACTGACTTTAAGATGAGGTTTTCCACTTGAGGCTCAGATGAATGTCTGAATCTACTTACTACAGACCTTCTGCTTGAGTTTTTAGCTGCTATCACTTTCATGCACCTGCCCCATTTTTTTTTCTCTCTTTTTCTCCAGGGAATCAAATATATCCACATTAGAATTTCTCATTGCACTGTGTACTGAACCCTCTCTTCTACTATTCACTCTTCTGAGACTTCATTAATTTTGGCTATTTTCTTTCCACTTACTTTTAGTGCCTTAATTCTTTCTGTGCTGTCTAATTTGCTGTTAAATCTAACCAGCACGGTTCTAATTGGAGGGATTACACTTTTCAGTTCTAGAATAGTTCCTTTTTCTTTTTTTATACTTTGTATCTCTCTAAAATATTCTAATTAGCTGAAAATGCTCAACATAGCCATTTAAAATCTGCAAACTACAGTATCTACAGTGCCTATGGGTCTGATTCTATTCTGTTGTTTCTGAAATCTTGTCTCGCCATGTATCTAATTATACTGTGTGCTGATCTTCTTAATGAAGATACTGAAATTATGATTTGAACCCGAACTATCATTCTAGAAGAGGGCACCCCGGGGGCTGGGGATTTAGCTCAGCGGCAAAAGCGCCTGCCTGGCAAGTGCAAGGTCATGAGTTCGGTTCCCGGTACCGGAGAAAAAAAAAAAAAAAAAAAAAAAAAAAAAGAGGGCACCCCGGCTACCCAGTTTTCCATGAGCACGTGTGTGTGTGTGTGTGTGTGTGTGTGTGTCTTTTGCTGGAAATCAAGCCAGCACCCTGAACATGCTATGCATATACTCTACCTCTGACCTATGCCTTCAGCCCTTGCTTTGGTTTATCTTACCCAGAACTTTCAAGTACAAAGTAAGAGTTTTCCAGGACTACTTCTCACCGTGGTGGGCCTTATGCTCTGTCTCTACACCCATAACTTGTAAAGAGCACATTTAATCTCTCAGTTTCTGTTTCTGGAATCTGCTTCTCTCAGGGAAAAACAAAACAAAACAAAAAAACTCCAAGTGGAAGCCTCACTCCTTACATTTCTCACTTCCCTTAGGCCCTCCTCTAATCATACCAGTCATACCAGTTAGCTTTGTTTGTTCTGCAGCAGTAGAGACTAAACCCAGGGCCTCCATCCAGATCTACAGCCTCAGACCTTTTCTATTCTTTCTTTTTAAGTTTTATTTTCAGACGGGGTCTCTTAAGTGGCTAAATTGCCTAGATGGGGCTCAAACTTGTGGTCTTGCCTGCCTCAGCCTTCCAAAGATCTGGGATTACAGGTACTGACCACCATGCCTGGCTACCAGTTAGCTTTCTGATACCCTCCAGCATTTTGTTCTCAGCTGGGTAGTTCAAATTATCTAGCCTGCTATTATCAAGCTCAGAAGTCCTGAAAAACTTTTAAGCAAGGAATCATCAAGGCAGTATCAGACCTTTAAAAAGAACATTTGGGTAACAGAAAGACAAACTAGAAAAGATAGCAAGCCTGGACACCAACATGAAAATAGTATGAAATCTAGCTTTAATGTACTAAAAGTCTCTTAGTATGACAGAGTATTGTAATTTCAGTAGTAACTGCTGATAAAAAGTTTAATGACTTAAAAATATGAAATTGGGAGTCAGTATTTTCAAACACAATAATATAGATTTGAAAAATTCAAATATTTTAAAAGTACCTTCTTCTAAACAGAAAAGATATGTTGGTCATAACTTCTCTGATTAACTGTTTCTCTACAGTGAGGTACTAAAGGAAAAATTTTCAACCTTTCATTCACTATTGATTCCTTATCTATAATCCAAACAAAGACAAAATAAAGCCCTTCAACAATCTGTATCAAAAGTCTATGGAAGCTTGACTACCCTACGTTCTCCCAAGTCTATGCTTGGTATTAAAAGTCTGCATTCAAAGTACAAAGAACTGCTGAGCGCCGGGTTAGCACCTAGATATAGAAGCTGCCATCTGAGCGAAACGGTTTCCTTCACCACTTCCATTGCTGCTATGGGCCACTACCACCTTCCTCCCAAGGGGTGAAGGAGGACTAGGTCGGGACCTCAAGCGGACCCCTGCTTCCAGGACTTCTCACAACCCAAGGTTAGAGGAGTTGTGCGGAAGGACAGGGAGGGCAGGGTTAATGACAGGGATCGGCCCAGGACTCACTCCAAACTCAGCCCTGAAGGGAACGGAGCAGAAGACTGCACTGAATGTGAGACTGAAATTTTAAAATAAACATAATGAGTTTTGAATAATCCTGCTTTAGTTGCTTAAGGTAAATGAAACAAAAATACAAACAGGGCAGAACTCTGCTTTTAAAGGATCCTATCACCAACTAAGAAAATAGAATTAACAGGAGTTTGATAAAAACTTCCTATTACAGTGAGTTGAAAGTAGTTAAATCTATAGATCTATATTTATTTAGTACCATATGCTCTAGTACAGTGAACACTTTTAAAGGTGATACAATGTGGGTTATGGTCCCACCAAAAAAATAAGTACTACTTAAAAGTCCAAAAACACTGTTTTAACCCAATCACGGTGTAAGCAGAAGTAAACACTACACCACGTTCCACTTGGAACTGTTAGCAGGAGGCCTAGCTCTCAGTGCTTCCCAGTCTTCATGGAGGCTTTCCTAAGGGCACCACATCCTCGGAGCCAGCGAACCCAAGGACCCCACCCTCTGGGGAGAGCAGCGCAGCCACCAGAAGCTGCCAAGGAAGCACGATGCTAACACTCCAGGAGGTGGTGTGTTTGTAGAAAGGATAAGATGGGAAGCACCTGGTCAAATTTTATCTGGCCTGTCCTTCATCTGCCACTAGTAAAACTGCCTGATCAGCATCACTGTTGAACATGAAACCACCAGGGGCAAGATCCTGACCCACGAAAGCGGGTAAGAGACAGAAAGTGTCCCCTAGAGACATCGCCACAGTACTTGGGATTTAAGAAAGGGTAACAGCAGGAAACTTGACAGCAACTTTATTTTAAAAAAAACTAAACGAATGCAAAAGGAGTACTGCACAAAGGACAGAAAAAAATGTTTCAAAAAGCCTGACAGAAACTCCTTCTGAAGACATAAATGCAAGGAGCAACCCCCACAGCCAAACCCACCTAGAGGCAAATGCCAAGAACAGGGTTCTAAAAAGTTGAGTAGAATCATTTACTTTTTACATATATATCACTTCTCAAAAGTGAGGAAAATTTGTTGGGGTCATGTCCATAATCCCAGCTACTCGGGAGGCTGAGGCAGGAGGATCCAGTTTAAAGTCAGCCTGGGTAATTTAGCAAACCCTTTTCTCAAAATATAAAATAAAATAAAAAGGGTCGGGAACGTAGCAAGCCCAAAGTTCAATCCCCGGAATTGAAAAATGAAAGAAAGAAAGAAAGGAAAGAAAGGAAAGAAAGGAAAGAAAGGAAAGAAAGGAAAGAAAGGAAAGAAAGGAAAGAAAGGAAAGAAAGGAAAGAAAGGAAAGAAAGGAAGAAAGGAAGAAAGGAAGAAAGAAAGAAAGAAAGAAAGAAAGAAAGAAAGAAAGAAAGAAAGAAAGAAAGAAAAAGAAAAACAGAGGGAAGCCATACTTACTCTGACTACTGAAGAGGGTGATCAAATAATTGCTAGGGCACTTACTTCTCCAACCAGTTTCAGAGCTGTGTATTATAACATCCTGGACACACGGTATGCTCACCACTGAATGCTATTTTTCAGCTGGGCTAGTTTTGCGGCACGGGAGCAAGCTCAGAAAGTCAGAACCTGAGACCCCACGCAACCCAAGCTGGTTTGTAGGCAGCCTAAAGCAGGCCTAGAGACAGGCGAGCAGTCCTAGTGATCTTCCGGAAGGCAAAGCCAGGGTGCAGCGTCCCGACCGTGTCCCGTTCTGTGACGCCACAAGGCCTCTGGGAGCAGACAGAACTTGGGGGTACTGTCAGCACTGCGAAGAACGCGGTGAGCTCCCGGCAGGTCCAGGGGAGCAGGGTCTGCCCCAGTGCACCGCTGGGAGTGCTGGCAGTCCGCACACAGCGCCGGGCGAGCCACCCACCGCCCGCGCCCCTCCTAGTCGTCCCCTCCCGACTCGGCCTCCCCCCACCCGTGTCACTCGCCGCTGTCCTCCGCGCAGCTGAGAACACCTGAGAGGTGGCCGAAACCTCAGCGCTGCCCGGGCGCCGGCCCTCCGCCGGCTGACGGCGCAGGAGCAGCAGCCCCCAAGGATCGCACTGCAGGGGCCGAGTGGGAGCCGGCTCCCGCACAGGGCCACCGTCTACA